GGTGTGACCGCTTGAGTTGTAGCTTATGAATTCCATTGCAGCATCATGCTACGGTGGTAAGTAATGGCTCAGGCGTTGATCGCGCATGATGCCCTGGTATCAGTAGAAGGGGACAAACACAAATACACACAGACGCGTACGCGTACTTGCAAGATAAACAACCAATATGTATGTGACGGGAGTTGAGGCGCGTGTGACAAAGGCACGTCTCGCAATCGGCCCCCAGCGCTTCAACACGAATTAGGGAAATATGTACTACATGGTGGTCATCCGAACATCACTGTGAGGCTTATCAGCACCGATGAGGTCAACGAGACCGCTTGAAATGATGCTCAGACATCTGAATATGATATTCAGACAACTTGAAACGGTACTCGGATAAATGAAATGACATTGGAACCACTTGAATTGTAAAAGGTATAGAGCAGAGGACTAAGGTCAGTGACAACATTTTACGCTCGAATTTCGTTTGTCGCAGTGATTTCAATTGTGGTGGTGTGACAATGGCCTATTGTGGCTTGTGGGAACCATGTGTCAGTTGCAGTAACGTTGCCACGACAGCAAAAGAGAGAAAAAGCTATATATACCACATTCGTCTTACTTGTTACCCGGTGGTCGCGCCTTCTTCACTGCATAATCAGCGCACGAGTGTGTACCTATACTTGACATGGTGCGTATAACGGATTATAATGATTCTCGTGCGAATAAAGTAGTTGGTTGTATTGATTTCTACAACGAAATAATATATCCTCAGTATAACCAATGAATAATGAGGTAATAATAATGACAACAATAATAATGATGAGGTTCCATAAAAATTTAAATGATGAAATATTGGATTGGTTCATACCCCTAATCATGTTGTGTAAGGATATTTTTTATCTGTGATGCTTACGGTTTTCCTTTTTGAGCCATTACAACGCTCATTTTGATTTTCAGGAGGGATTAACGTAGTAAAGTGTGATTATTATTGGTATTCTTATCAGTGATGCGTTTTATATCCAAAAACCTTATGTTGTACCATTACATATTCATGCTGTTTCGCGTTTGACTTCGTTGTACTACTGGTATTCAGCACCAAGCTCAAAACACAAATATCACAGAAAATAAAAAAATCCACATGGCAAGCAAACCTTTTTTGGGTATTCATTACTATTGCGTATAAGCTTTAATCTGAAAAGCTACCCTCCTCCCTCCTCAGAGAACACAAAGATTGTCGGTTCAGATGACGTGTACTCCAAGTAGGTGGGGGGGGGGACACAAACGTATCTCAACTCCTACCCAGGTTTGAGTGAAGCGCGATACGGATGATGGCAGGAAATGGAATACACACGTTTCACTGAGCCTCTAATCCTAAAATTCTGACTCTTGTATCACTATATCAAGGTTACATACCCACATGATTTTTTATCAGAAAGAGAACTAACTAGCTGTTCGCAACATAGAAACCATTCCTCAGTCTTGTCACTGTTTCTCCGCAACTGACAGGATTAATTGTCCCATCCCGTTTCCCCATTTATTTGCACCCTCCTCTCCCCCATCTCGCCTAGTCATAGAAATCTTTACCAAGATTGCAGTTCACGTTTAAATCTCTACCCATGCTGAACAGCTACAATCAGTTAGACGTGAAGGCGATGAACTTAGGAAAACCAGTGCTGGAACAGATCGTTCATACTCCACGTTGTGCTGGTGGAACGTTTCGATCAACCGGAACATGGAGTCGCGTCAGATTGCCATTTCGACGTAAGAAATCGAGCGTCAGTATGAACAGTGAACCAGATATGTCCACCTTACCGGATTGGGCTCGAACTCCGTGGACCAGCACTGCGAGCATCACAGCCACAGACCGGGACACAACGAATGTCACAGAACGACCTTACGGAGGAGCGTTTAATCGTCTTGGTGTAGGTTTGCAAACTAGCGAACTGCTTAAATGCGGATCGTGGATGGAGTAAGTTTTTTTTAGTTTATAACCGGCGTTGCGCTTCGTTTTAGCAAGATTCGCTGATACATTTGGGAATGCTAGTCAACCAGAATAAATACAGATGATTTGGATGCATACGTGTTACGTGACGCAGAGAAATAAGCTGGAGATCTTTCTTTTCGATGAACGAAGAAAACGGTAGAAAAGGATAGGAGAACAAGAAAGTCATTGAAGAAATGACTTCGTTCTGGTGCGATCAGATTACGATTGCCCACTGTAATATTATCACATAGGTAACGATAAAAACTCCGGAGTGATATTAATGTGTTTCATTTACAAGCAGAACAGAGGTATTTCTAATTCAAAATCGAAATTACATTTTGAGAATATCTAACCAAAAAATCCACATAGAAAAAGACGAAATAAAATTTCGGCGACAGACCCCGTCTCATCAAAATTGGGTGGCAAGTGGCGAGATTTGTGGGATTCTCACTAGAATACCAGTCATTCTACTGCTGTTACTACCAATACTACTAATACTACTGCTAATCCGGCCACTACTGTAGTGCTGTAATACTTAAATAGTATACGATTACCATTTTAGCGCCCCCATGTTGGAACAGTTTTCGATTTCTCACGACATCTCTGAGTGGTAATAGAATACAAGATTTCGGGTTTGGTTGCGTAATAACCGAAAAAGATTGTTAGGTCGTTGGACCAGCGGTACGGAGTATTACGTGAGAAAGTGTTTACTCTGTTTCAAATGATGTCACTGGATCTTCATTGCTCGATTAAACCTTCACGCAAGTCGTCCCTTAGTTCAGCACTCGATGTGTAAACGCATAAGACTAGAAGTAATTTCACTGCAACGACTACCACCACTACGAACATTACTTCGTTTTCTTGCTTCTCTACAGCTGTCCCTGCAACTCCACAGGCGAATTGACGTGCTGAGGAATGTCGCTTATTTAAAGAACAAAAGCGATACGTGGTAAATAGAATCATACAGAACGAAACATCTAATCTATAACAGTTGGTTAGTAGTTTCATGAAAGGCTCGTTCTTAAACAGCTCAAAAGTCTCTTTTCCTCTTCTGAAGTTACAATGATAAATCCTTTAATTCGCTCCCAGACACCGTTAGAATCCACCAGCCGCCTCTTCATACGCGCACCAAACATACTGCTCATAAATGTACTCATCACTACTAGTGATGTTATTACTATAACGTTACTTCCTTTTGTGAATGAATGAGAATAATTCACTGATAAACTGATCTTAAAATATCTCTAGGGTATAGAAACAACCTCTCAAAGTTGACTGAAATATACAACTGTGCATTTACTTTTGTCTTCCGACTTACCAGTTTATTCGCTAAACGCACCTATTCTTACAGTAGCCTTCTACCCTTCGAAGCCCCAGTTTTGGGTTGTACAGCATTATTTGTTCTCTTCAATATGAATTAAAATACTTAGAAAGGTAAACAAAGCAATCGATAAATGGCTATTAATTCACGGTACTTATCCAACGATTTTTTTCTATCGAATTCATTATTATTCCGTGTTTTGTTTTTCGGCCTCGCAGGATACAGCACGAATTAACGAGCATCATTTTATGCAAACCGGATTACGAAATTACCACATGTATGCATCATATACGGTCAGTTGATCGTTATTTTTGTTCATTTTTTTAAAATTAGTTTTCATTCTTTGCCCGACAAATAAATCTTTTCTTGCTTTGCCAACGTATATGCGTGCACCGCTTAACTGTGACCTCTTTTCTGATGGTGATTTATCACCAAATTGGTTGAATTTTCGTCGTGATGCTCACATTCGGGTCAATTCAACACAGCTCAGGGCAATCCTCACTTTTGAAGACTAGTCATTCGCTGATGTTCATCATGACAATTTGCTATTCATATAGGACACCTCCTGATACTGTCTGATTGCATCGGAAAAGAGCGAATTCCAAGACTCGACTTGCGTTTCTGATAGCTCATCGAAACAGTTGTCCTACCCTTTTCGGTGTTGCATTTCTATTTTAGTGCAGGTGTACGGTGGTAAAGAGAATAGCCACATTTTACACAAATTACGGTTCGCATTAAAGACAGTTTGAACCATTTCACGATATTAGTCAATGAACTATGGAAAAGCTTGTCGATCAGGAGCTAATAACAATAATTTAGTTTACATACAGAAAAATTAACTGTCCGTTAAGAGGTTATTTTGAAACCCTTTTATTCGTTCTATTCACCATCCATGTTGATATTCCCAGACAATTGGCGGGTACCGATTTGGAAAATCTCATTCCAACGTACTGTGAGGTAAGTCATTTAAGCAACCGGTTTTGTATAGAGAGAGAGTTAATCGGTCCGCTACGCAGCATATTTGTGAGATAAAATGGAGTTCGCGATCGTGGTGATGGGGGAAGAATGGCCAAGCGATGTCATCGCTATCACTGACGTGTTCCAGGCCCTAAGATGTGAAAAGCGAATGCCTTTACCGTCAAAAATCATAAGATAGAGATAGCTTCACTATTGTTCGATTTAATAACCATTAGGTGCTGTCTATACTTTTTCAATTCGAGTTGTTCGAGTATAATTTCAAAATGTCCGGGTATCAGGATGTTCGGATATCATTTCAAGGTTTTTGAGCATCATTTCAGATTGTCTAAACATACTTTCAATTTCTCGCGTTCACCACAGTGGAGCTGCCAAGCTGATGCATTTTCAAGTCTCCCCCTTTTCATGTCTGATGACCGCCATGCAATATGAACGACAACAATATTGTGTATATCGATTGAGCATGATCGATTGGTGTCATACTGCAGCCCCTTGAGGAATAGCTTATTAGTTTTATTGCAGCATTATGCGACGGACGTAAGCAGCAGCTCACGAACTATTGCCATCAGCGAAACAGGACCCGACATGACCTTTCAAAGGGAGAAGCACGAACAGACACAGATGCTTACGCATAGTAACACGGTGAAAAATCAAGATATTTCTTGAGGATCGGGGTATGTGACTAAGGCACGTCTCACAATCGTCATCCTCGCGCTTCAACAGTAAATGAGACGTTCATGCAGCATGGTGGTCATCAGACATCAGACTTGAAAAATGCATGAACCGGACGTTTTGAAATGCTACTGGGACATCTTAAAATAATATTTGGACAACCTTAATTGTAAAAGTTATAGTTCACTATCGCAAATTACTAGACTGACGTTGGTGGTTTGTAAAACCAAATGGTAGGTTCTCAATGTTGTGCTTCGTCTAAGCAAACACATAAGTACTTGGTGAATTAGGCAGTTCTTCTATGTGGGAAAATGCACCAATCGATTCACTAATCCGGAAACACTTCGATAAGTGCAAATTTCAGCTGCGGTCGAGTATCACTTATACCTGTGGAAGTTGTGCAGAATGTCATAGGCGGTATCCATGTGTGGGTTCGAAGAAACGATTATTTAATATATTTATAGACCATAGAAAATTTCAGTATAGAAACTGTATAATTGCAATTCAGCACCGGACTGCTAACTGATTCATAATGTATTTCAAATCGGTCTCACTTTAGATGCCAGAGTCAGATCCGTAATCGAAAACTGACGATCCGCAGTGAACATCTCCAACTTGGTGGAAGAGACGCAATAATTGGCCTCCAAGTGTCACTATTAAATAGGTAGCTGGAGAAAATCTACGCGTTTGGATAACACCAATGACATCATCTGTCTGTTCGAATGCATGGAAGATGAACAAACTGCACTTGACGGATTAGAAAGTGCTATTACTCCATTCAGTGTGCGCTTTGCATCTTCACAGAGCAAAGTAGTACTGCAAGTTTGGGTGTCACATAGTCCCGCTTTGAGAATAAATGGACGGCAACTGGATATGGTGGGTTGCATTTCCTATTTAGTTAGTTGCGTGACCAATGATGATAGTTGACCATAGTCAGTTCCGAGATGCGAGTAGTGTACGCAGGTGGGAAACACCTTGGGCGTGGACGCGATGTTTCACTGTTCGTTTAATTCCGCTTTGTGGTGGTGAAACCTTGAATTTGCGTTTAGGAGTTTATGGGAACAAATTTATTTGAACACCGATTCATATTAATGGGTTCCAATAGCTAGGACACGTATTACACGTATTACACATGCTTGGCTATCGTGTACCGCACCGCGTCTGATTCGCTATTGCGCTCGGGCTGGAGGAAACTCCGTGGAGGTCAACAGATGATGTGCAGCTGAGTCTTGAAGAAACGCACAGAACCATTAAGTGGAGTGGATATCTCTCGTCTTCTGGGTTTCATTTCAAAGGACACTGTACTTGGTTAGCTAGGACAGCGAACCGTCGGCAGTGAGATTCTTGTTGTCGTTGCTAATCCGGTCAGAATGCTTGAAACGGTATGTATGCACAGTTCGATCGTGTACTTCAATCCCTGTCCACCTTACATATCTTCACTACCGTTGTAAGTGTTGAGAGTTTGGTAGCTATCTCTGGGGTTCATTTCACTGTATCTCGCTGTAATATGTGAATGATGATGACCGATTAATAATAGCTAACACAGTATACAGTAAAAATAATAATCCTGTTATTCAACTGTGTACAATCTAGTATTTATTTTTCAAACAGTAATCATTTGTATCATTACTTTTGTCCTCTTACTTCTGTCTAAGCGAAGGGTACTCCCAAACACGATGCGCATTCTTCGCAAATCCCTGCATGAATTGCAAGGTACGTGCAGCCACTCAATGCGAACTTGAAACCAATTTACTGCGTATCCAAAAAGAATTCACATTTGTTTCTTGTTCATTATAGGATTTCCTCTCTCTCTCACTCTACCGTTCTCGGTTCGATGCTTGAGGATAGCTGCCTTTAAATGTCACGCATTATGCCTCAATCACATGGCTTTCATAGTTTTGTTCAGTGCATTTGATTTCATCTGGCCTTAGTAGCGACAGTTTTCATCAAATGACTACCACAGGCATTTTGTACATTAACTTTTCCACTCGCCGTGTCCCATCAGGTTAGGAAATATTTTAAACAGTGGAACGTGATGAGATTGTAATAAAATTTTTTCAGCAACAGTATTATTCAAATTCGAAGGATCCGATCCCTATTTTTCATAATGGATGATGTCGTTATTGTTTTCCGCCTGTTTCGGATGGTTCACTGGTGCGTGGGTTCGAAAATGAATGATCTATCAGGCAGAATGCTACGGCATCCAGTTCGACACGATTTCCTCTCCTTAGCTAGATTTCTTTTTACTTCGCTACTTGGTACACACGAAAAACTCAGTACTTTGGATGCTGTCAGAGCACAAAAATATCTCTCTTCCGATCGGTGTTAGGCTGAAACCACTTCAATTGAAAAAGATGTGGGTGTAACGTTACAGTGAGAAACAAAACAGCTTAAAAGTAAGCCTTAGGAATTAAAAGATCGGAAAAACACCTCAGAGATTAAACTCATTTGAAGTGATTCATCTACAGGCTATTTATTACACCACACACGACACTGTCATCTCCCCACCCCACCCCCTGTTGACCCGAACCAGTGCGTATGTTTGTGGGCCAAAGTGTGAACAACATCCGGTCATGGAATTGGAATGGTAATTATTTCCTTTCCATCCTGCCATGTTTTCTCCCCCCTACTTTATAGTTTGATATAACTTGTGATGCATTAGCCTGTAGAAGAATCACCGTAATGGAGCTTATTCGCTACTCCCTGTTTTCGTGTGTATGTGTGTGTTGGCCATGGAAGACCGAGTGTTTCAGGAAGTGTAGGGTGAAGGTTCTGTAGGATGACTCCGATCGCTTGCACTGTGGCATGAATGTGACTCCTAATCTCCTTAGATCAAGGGCTGTGAACAGAGTACTGTATACGGATGGAAAGGCCTAAGATACATTAATCAAGTGGTCTGACTCAACTAGGTGTTAAACGATCGAACTGTTGATAGTCCTGATACCCTATTTCTCAGCCAGACCAGGTGAAGTGTTAACCTACAGAAACAACCGAAATTGGCCATACATATGTGTTGAACGCCGAGAGCCACGAAACCTGTCGTGTGCTTCTGCCAAATTTTGACTACACCTTTGCCCGCATTTCTTCGGCCTCTAATCACAGTCCTTTAACCATAAACCGCAGTGCTTTCGCCTAGAGTTACAAACGTTATTCATACCGTTGTAGTTGAGTCAGACCAAAAGGTATCGGACAATTCTGAAGTTAACGAACGTTGAAAAAATATTTGTTTACAAATATTGATGTCGCAAGCTTGATTGACAAATGAGAAGGTATGGCGGTCACCACTATATTACGTGTTGATTGGAGAAGGTTTAAACGATGTGCTCGTTTCTTCAAACCATTTGACGCATCTCGGACAGCTATAGTCCATCACATGAGTTTCGTGGTCCTGACGTTATAATAAGTCGGTGACAAATTTAAATAGCCGTACCAGTGTGATGTACAGTAAGACAAGGATGTCAATGAAAAACGAATGGGAAAGTGTTCGTATATTTTAGGTGAAAAAGGCCTGGATAGTTGGGGTAACCGTAACAGACGAAAATCAGGAATCACAATCGAAACACAAAATCGCGCTGACAATCGTCTGCCAAAATCTCCGGTCAACGAAGCGCAAGAAGAAGTCCACTGAGGTGGCGATTAAGTTATCGCAATTATAGTTAGTGTTCTTTTGCACACAATTTCTTTTTAAATCAGTTGGATTGTCAGTGTCCAACAACACCGAATTCTCATTGGTCAATCTGAAGCTAAACCAAGTTGCCCCATTTGCCGGCGATGCTAGGGGGCTTTGGAACACCGCTCGCTTTTTGCCGACCTTGATGAATCAACTGAAAACAGATAAATATTAAATTTTCTCCCGGTTTCATTCACAGTGAATGCTGAAGTGGGTGTTAACTGTTCGTCCAATTGTCCGCTGCAGACGAATATTAATCCATATGGTGCCCATAGTATGTCTGGGTATGAACACCCCAAATTCACTCATCTCATCTATCTACGAGCGTGCACTACCATACGGTAAACGTCGGGTGTTTATTGGCAAACTGACGATTAGGGGTTGGGTGTGTGTGTGAGAGTTTAGTGGTAGACTGATTCTCCATATTGTTCCACCAACTTTCATCTATAGCATTACCCACACCTTGGAACGCAAACATGTATGAGAAAGAACCAAAACCTGATTTTCATGTCCTGTCGATGATATCCTTAAACACTACAAAGTATTGCGGTATCTCTTTCTCTCTCTCTCTCTTTCGCCTTCTAAATGATCTGCACGACACAATCATTTGAATGTCCAATCGACTAATCCATCGTCATCGTATTCCATCATTTTTCATATCCATCCCGCCAAGTGTCTGTACGCATTCCCGTCACCATCCTGTTTTCTATTTGCCTTCTCTACTCAAAGGACCGGAATTGCTACATGAACTTGGTCTTTTGTGGCATCGATTTATCACGTTCACTGTGCCAACAATCACTTTGATTTTCTCACCCATTCCCGTAAGTGATCCACTGTCTGTTTCGGGACTGCATAGAAATAATGACATACTACCATGTTATATCCACCCGGTTTTCAGTTGAACGTATTTCCCAGACTCGTTCAACCAATAGAAATACTAAAATTTTACACGAAATTATATCGAATGAAAGGATATTACTCAACCCCAGAATAGGAATAAGCGGAATCATCGATTCGTGTGATAATCGGTCCAGTTGATATTTGATCCGTTGGGTGTGCCTTGTTCTGTCGCTCCTAGTGTAGTTTCATCAAGCACCTAAAATACCTCCTTTAAAAGTGATCACAGCAACTGGTACCGGAGTAATACATCTGTTCGTCATGCAAACAGCATTCAGGTTGAATTTGCCGAACAATCAAGGTGGAATGGGTGGTTACATGTAGTGTTTCACCCGATTAGAGCTGAAGATGACCAGTGTGAACATCCGTCCATATTCGTTTAGTTCATTCGAATTCTTGGCCTACTTTCTACAACAGGCAAGGGGCTGCGGTCGATTGAAACCTACCCAGTCTGTTGGAACGAATACTGAGGATGGAAAACGGGGCATTTTGTTCTCTAGGCCCGTCTTGTCCCTTATTGCTTTATATGGACCAACAACTGCGCATGGTCTCTTAACAAAAGTTCATTTTTTGGGTTGTATTGAATCAATCCGTTAATTTTCTCGCGCCTTGAAAAACCTATTGCTCAACAAGCCGAACCAATCAAACGCAGAAGTTTTGAGTCTTTTTGTTTGGATTAAGGCATGCCAACTCATGTATATCGATTGGTGTGTGAGATTCTGTTTCAGTGTTTACAGTTATATGTGTTTCGTATTTTATCACACGGAAGACGTGTATCTACATGCACCAAAGCTTATTCACACCAGATTCAACACCAACGATCGATTCGTTGCAGCAGAGCGCTGTTGATTAATTGATCGTTCAAAGGGCCTAAGAGATGCCACATGCCTCTGTAAGTTGGATGGGTAAATTCGAACGTGAAAAGATCAGTGATATCGGTGTGGCCTCGTAGCTCAGCTGGTTGAGCATGCGCGTACAAAGCGTAGGCGGCATCCATGCTTGGATTAGAATCCCACCGAACTTTTCACAATCAACATACAAACCTAAGGGATAGCTGACAAATATGATGGAAACACCATTAGTTGAACGCAGTTACATGTGGCATGTGAGTACCGTGTAGCTGGGTTTAAGCAGGAATATGATACTGAAATTCGATGATTCATCCTTTGCTATCAGACCGTTACGCCTGCCATTTAATACTTCACCGGCTTGTTCCATCCTTAGCATAAATTGGCAGCTCGTTTTCAACTTCAGTTGGGACAAGCGAACGGGGCCTCAATCGTTCGAGAAATTGAAATGGCGCAACATGATCCGTGACAAGAACCGAAGCTAAAAACATCAGTTTATACTCATAAGCACGTGAATAATGCAGTTAATGCGATTCTCTAGTCAGTAAAATGATAATCATATTGACCGTAGTACGTGCACGTGTACAAACGCAGCAAGAGTTATGATCGTTGATGCGTTGTGAGAACCAGTGTTTGAGACTTCTCTATTCAAATTTGTGACGGAAACACTCTGGTGTCAAAAATGAAAAGTAGACTGACTCACACAAATTGGACAAGCGAACAGTTCCTTGTCCAGGATTGGTCTATTCACCGATTCATGATTTCATCTGCTCAGACGTTAACCAGGTACTCCTGAAATTTACTCGAAGAATATGCGAGCGTGGTTATCATGCAATCCATTAAGTTGACGTTGGCTAGTGAACGAAACCGTGTACAAGACCATTCACATTTATCGACTAAATGGAAATCAGTCGGAGGCGGTAATCAAAACAGTGTGAGAACAATTCGGTTGGCGCTTCTGAGATTTGTGACAGAAGCAAAGAGAACTAGAATGAAGCATCTGGAGCGTGATTTTTATGTTTTCTGAAGGGACTCAATGGAGCTAAACGTACAATCCTCGAAACATATGTTTTATCTGTTCGCTTGTTTTTCCCAGATCGGAATCATTGCTTGAACCCAAATGGATGCAGTTGTTTGTCGATTGAGTAAACTTGATAAACCATACCTAATCAGTTGTTTGTGTCCAAATTTGGTGGTGAATAATCCGTTATAGGAATAAGTATTATTCACCTACCTAGATGTCAGCCCAGATTGACATCACCACAGGCAGATAAGGATGATCTATAGTCTTGGAATATATCAACTTACGGCCATTAGGGAATATAGTGCCATTGCTTTGGAGGAATGTGCGGCTGGTTTGGCAAAGTCACTGTCAGTAGCCGTTCCTTAGGGGATCAAAAACTAATGTTCATTGCTCAAATCTATACCGTTATATTATTATATATATTTCACACACGTCTGATGCCAGACCGTGTGCCAAACAAATCGTGGTACAGTAATCTTTATAAAAAGAAAAGCGCTCCACGATTTGCAAGTGGGTGGAATACTGCCAGGTTGCCCAGGCCAAGGCAGGTGATTCTTCTTGAGGAATCCACAAGCGTAGCATTTGACTAACCAAAGCCTGACCCGTAAGGAGCCAGGCGGTGTGCGAAAACCGCAATCCATTGGGAGTCGGTGTCCAGTTCGACGCATCATACGCCTTTCGGACAGGGTCAAACGTCCAAGGTGCCCAATACACTTCGATGCCCAATTGAGCCGGTGACCATTGCCACAGCCGGAAAGGTGTCGGTGTGATTCTTACGCCTCCTCTTGGTTGGTTTGGAATCATTGTTTTCAGCAAACTCCCCTAGGTGAACTGCCAGTGGTTCACCCACCAGGTTATGGCCCCGGATATCGCCTTTTCGTCGTCTCACTTTCGTGCAAAACACCGCCACGAGAAGGTAGTGAGCAGGAATTGCTCAGCAGAGGCTATTTGAGACGCTCGATCGTATGGGAGCATTCCGCGAGGTGCAAGGGAAGGGTGATCAGCCGCAACCCTAGACACCCACCTCCGACCATACTGAGGATTTCGGAGGCAATCTATATCGTTGATATCTGTCTTACCCCGGGGACAAAACAAGTTGAAACGATATGTCTTTTCATCTGTTATTGTGCATCGATGAGTTATTTTATAGATGTAAATTATTGCACTTATCATTTTACTGTTAACTCAATATCGTATGAATGGACTGAATAAAGTAATATGCACGACATACTACCACTGTAAGGTCATTCACAGTGATGATAGTCACTGCGCACAGACCCATCAAGTGAGCTCTATTTCCTCTGATGTGCACTCACTCATTGGAGCAAATCCGGATTGTCTTGTTTTGTACGGGACTCACAGCACACCCATTTGGAGGCTGTTTTGTGGGTTTCCATTGGCAAAGGTTAACAAAGCGTGAACAACACCATAGACCAAAGGATTCAATGTTCTATATATTCTAACAGACGGACTGAGTCAAATTCTTCCATGGGGAATGTATATGAGTATTCGTCATGTTCAGCACCGACAAACCGCCTTCAGTCTGTCCATTTATGTCGTGGGGCATTTTCAGACATCACAGAATGCATTTGAATCGATGCTGCTCTATTCATTCTATCGTGATGTGCTACGAAAGGTGGATTTTTACGGTGAGTTTAACGAGTTGAATGTTGTTTCATTGTATTTTCAATCTGAGTATCAATAGTAGTTGAATATACAGACAAATTGAACTGTTGATCACCACATTTGTCGCTCAAACTTCAAACAACAATACAAATTCAAATATCATTTGCACAACGGAATCCAAGGAAGGGGCTGCCAAAGATCCGCGGAATAACAATAAAAGTCATCCATATTTTTCCATGAATCTTCGCAACCGCATTGTTGTTTGCAATCATGACGACAGATGAAAACCAAACACGAAATATAAGTGACTACATGTTTGTCTTTCTGTAAGGAAATTTGGAAATTCCTCGCGATTATCAGGAAGCCGTTCATCCCGAATAAGCTCTGAGCCCAACCACTTAGCGATAATCTATTCCACCTTGGATGCAAATCTCTTCAATCTGCGGGGTCACTTCACCTAGATTCCTCGTTTCCGACTCTTCGGCAGTTGACATCATCTTACAGAGGAGTACAATCCACGTTCTGCCTTACACTGTATCAAGAGTGATGCATGGTGAAATTGTGTGAAGAGTGTAAAATGCTTGAAAGATGCAATTGCTGGCGCTATGGGAAACCTGTTACCGTGCCGGCACATGACAATTTGTTTCTGCACTGTATGATTGAGTCCACGTTAGTTTTAAATTCTGATCTACAGTGATCAGTTCTCTTTCTCCATGCAAAGGCATTTCTGTGTGCAGAGTCCGAGGTAGTTTATGGTTCGAGGTTTACTACTATCAAGTCTCCGAACATTTAGTCAATCTAAAACAGTTATTCACGGACTATTTGGCCCATGAAACCCGTGGAACTGGACTGTATAAATAACGGCGAAGGACAATTGGGACAATTGAATGTGTACGTTGAAAACAAATGCGAGTATCGGAAGACGACAACAACTGCGTCGAACCATTCCAAGTTTCATATACACAGTAAGATAAGTGCTACGGATAATACAGAATCATATGCGGGGAATATTCAAATTGAAGAGACAGAAATCGAATTGAATGTTTTTCAGTGGTTTCACGTTCTATTTGGGTGGTGATCTGGTTAAACTAGATTATTACCGGCACGCTATAAGAATGTAATCCACGGATTTTCGTCCCCGCCATCATTGTGGTAAATCTGTAAGGGAAAGAATGGCAGGCATCACTCAAAGGCAATCCTCAGTTGAGAGTCCTGAAAGGCACCTGGAAAGCACAATCACACGTGAAAACATTAAATTTATATCTTGGTTTCGTCTTCCTTGGACGGAATGGCAACCAATATCCCAAATTGTGGATTAAAGTGCAGCTACTTCAATCGTTTATTCATCGCTTTTGATTCTAGCAACAGTCGAAAAGTTGTCTTCAATTAGTTTTAGACTTTTCATTCAGGTAATCCTTTTAATTGTGCATTAAAAAACAGTTCCTGGGAATATTATATTATAATATCCATATCTTTATATTTATGTTATATATGATAACACTTATATCACCTTTTCCTCCAACGGCTAAAGTGTAACTTCTCGGGCGTCCGTACTAAACGATATCGGGAACATTTTTGAAGCTCATTCCTGTGTTCTTAGCATTATTCGGTCCCTAGTGTTCCAACAAACAAAGGACACATTCCATACACAATCTCATAACCAATGTTGGTTTCGAACATAGGCGCGTTTTTCACAACTGAAGTTCTCTTAACATAACTTATGAAACTGAAAATACATGTTCTTATTAGATTACTCCTCTGTGAAATGCGTAAAAATTAAAGTTCTCGAAAAATTCCTAAACCAGGGTCGATTGGTGTACATTTAATACCAGCTATTTCCAACTATTTTTGACTGATCTTCTATTCTAGGATTAAATTATACGCATCAAGCACTGCATTTCACTGATATGTGACGATTGCATCAGCTAAATAGATACCCTTTGTTCCCATATTCGATGTTTCCCTAAAAAACCATCTCCAATACACAAACAGATGCGATGCAGTCCACCAGGCCAATTGATTGTCGCGTGGAACATATGTGTCACGTTTTATTCGTAAGTTCATTTTATCTATTTAATACTCGTTGGTATGCTCACTCGTGAATTTCATATAGCAGGCTTTATTCTATCGGTCTAAACGAGTGAACCAGCACCATGACCTTATGCAGGTGGTTGACATCGCCAATGTCTGGTTTCTGCGCTTGATCACTGCTATCCGCCGGTTTCTAAATTCATTGGTCACTGGTTTTATGGACTTCCGAAATAGCACTGCACCTTTGTGACTACTATTCCCACTCAAATTTCCTATACGTCTCTGCCAAATTCCAAACCAAGATCGTGTTTGATTTTCGACGCACGACAGAATCTGTTAACCGCGAAGGGTTGCTTTCCTTCCTCTGTTTGCATGCTATACTCTACGCAATCCTCATACATGTTGCAAACGTAAAGGCCGATAGAACCGGTGNCCGCTTATGTTTTGCTGACACCAGCTGATCAACTTATTTGGATTACTGAGTGGAATTAATTGGTGGATAATTATTGGATTGGATTATTGTGAATGAATTCGAGTTACCAGAAGCCAAGATCACAGTGGACAGATATTTCATCCACGTTGAAACTCGTCACTGAGTTGTGCTTCGTTTTCTGCTCGTCCAGACTTGAAACCAAATCCTCCCGATTGATAACCTAAACGCATACTCCAAACGTCTACGGTCAACCACCAAAACTTTTAGTTCGTGGTTGTATGAACTAAATAATTTTCTATTTGTTTTGTATCATGCGAATGTTCATATACCAAGATTTGTGATTTGGTATTCTTGT